CTTCGCGTTCTTTGTCCGCCCCCTCGTGTAACCTCCGTTGACTCGCGTACCCGTTGCGATCTTCCTCGAGTGTAGTGTTACACTTCAGAAACGCTTAAGTCCTTTGAGATATTTCCAACAATATGTATACTCAGACTGGACTTGTGTCCTCTCCCAGTGGCTGGACTAGTAGTGCCGCCCTGGTCTTGTTCTTGCCTTGTCTGTACTCCTTTTGACTGGTCTTTTAGACCCTTGTCTCAGAGGTTGGACTAGTAGTGCCGCCCTGAGCTGCTTGTTCAGGACATTCCCCTATGCAGTCTAGGGGGTGTGTCAAACATGTGTAGTTGTTATGTTTGCATAGACTGTATAGGGTCACCTCTTAGAGGGTACAATACTTAGGTATATCTATCTGTACTCTCTCATTAGTCATTATTCAGTTCTCTCAGTTTGATACCTATCCCTCCTGATGACATCCCTTCTTGTCCCAGTGGTTAGGACTGGTGACTTAATGACTCCGATGACTCGGGGCCACCCTTGTGACAACCCATAGCTTTCAGGGTCGGGGTTTGGAAGTGGCATGATTTGTCAGGCCCAAAAAAATATCACAGGTGAATGCAGTGCGATATTTTACTGGTGGGCAAAGGGCATGGTTTGTGAATATGTGATGGTGAAGCAGGAGCTTGCATGTGCACAAGCATGCTGAATAAAAAGTCTCCTCTCATGGATATACAGCAATGTCAGTCTACCACAAAGGCATGGCTGCAGAAAACTACCACCAGTGACTGGTACGGCTTATGCACAGGTGTGGACAGCAAGCACGGGCACACGGAGACCAGGCACAGTTGATGGCAGGGCATCACGCAGCAGTTGATGGCAGGGCATCACACAGCAGTTGATGGCAGGGCATCACGCAGCAGTTGATGGCTGGGCATCACGCAGCAGTTGCAACCTGAAAGCGTGATAGTGTCTGCATGAGATGGCTGACTTGAAGATAGCTCTCCACGGTGCGGCGCAGAGAGATGATGGAGCCAACCTGCAGCCACGCACACACACTGCGATCAAAACACTCGTCCAACATGCCGCGCGCACCAAAATCAGCGGTCATGGAAGGACTGGATGGTGGCAGCATAGCAGGGGATCACAGGATGCTCACAATGGAGGATGATCAGCAAGGACTCACAATTATAAGCAGCGATGTGAGAGCAATGGAGATGCCTGAGATGCGGTACACAAAGAGGCTGAGTGCTGATGATGCAGATGCCATGGATGCTAGCAGCACACCACCTGCACATGTAAGAGGGCAGAGCACAAGGAGTGCATGAGGGCGGAGCACAAGGAATGCATGAGGGCGGAGCGACAGAAGTGGCACAGTAGGTGGCATGCAGCATGTGAGGCACAGTAGCAGTTGATGATGGGACGGTCTCGCCTTAGCACGCTGACTGCTGCCAGCACATTCACATGTGGCAGGCCACTATCACCCACACTCCCACTGCTGCTGCGCTCCTCAGTCCCACTGCTGCCATCCCTGACTCACGGCAGTGGTGCAGTGCTGGGGATGCCCGTCCACAAGGAGACGGCAACCAGATGGGGGTGGTGGCAGGGGACGAGCAGAGGGCAAGAGAGGGGTCAGAGTGAAGGGGCGGGGAGGGAGGGCTGGGGCAGAGTGGGGGGAGTCAGGAGGGAAGAGAGTGGAGGGAGAGCACACCAAGGAAACGAGTTGAGTCGCGTGCGTCTCTGAGGAACTCTGCTGTCTCCGCCCCTGGCCTCACATGGCGCACCCTCGCCCCTATGGCCACCAGACTGTCTGCGATGTCCTTGATCGTGTCATCCTGGTGCCATGCATGCACACACACACCCTCCCAGTCCACCCCCCCTCTCCCTCCCATACACACATGGCACATGCACACACCCTCATGGGGCATGCACACATATTGAGGGAAGGCGTAAGACGAATGCCGGCAAGTGTGGTGGGCACAGCAGAATGCATGAGCAGTGGAAGTGACGATGCCAGACCACGCATGCAGTTTGGGGTGGGCAGGCAGTGTGGGGGGCGAGCAGCGCACCAGGTCGTAGATGTTGAAGAGCACCGTGATGAGGAACACCGCCGTGTGCCCCAGCGCACGCATGTGCAAGGGCGCAGCACCCACATTGTACCCTCCCACCTCCCTGCACGCACACACGCACGGCTCAATGTGCACATGAGCAACGGCAATGCCACATGCACATGCAAGCGCACGCACTCCATGGGCCGCACACATGCGGCATGGCAAGGGACGTTTAAGCTCCCAGCGGAGAAGAGAGGGCCAATAAGGTGCAGCGCACAGAGACACTGGTAGCTCATGGCCTGTGCAGTGGAAAGATGCTGCTGCCGTGCATGGGCCCACTGGAGTGCCAATGCCCTCAGCAGCACGGACCTGAGAATCATGGTGACGGAGGACGCGAGCAGTGAGGCGTTGAAGACAGGGTACATGCCCTGCGGAATGAGCGGGAACGGCACCACTGGCTGCACCTGCGCCCTCTCCTCCCTGCATGCAGTTTGCATAAGTGCATACACACATGGATGCACGAATGCATGGGGGCACAGTGCCAGAGCGACAGCAGTGAGTGGTCGAACTCGAGTATGCAATGCATGCAGTAGAAAGACTGCAGGTGGGAGGCGTGGACAGGAAAGGGAGAGTGGCGACGGAGGGGAGGCAGTGTGAGCTGAAGGATGTAACTGGACCCCAATACTTGGTGGGTCTGCTGATGCTGCACTGCTCAATAGTGGGTTGGTGTCGGGGGATGGGATACAACACAGGTGTGGCGCAGAGGGTGGCAAGGAGGGGGTGTACAGGGAGGGGGTGTACAGGGAGGGGGGGGTGATGTCGAAGTCGAAGTAGATGAGGGGCACGCGGCGCACGCCACCCACGAGCCACGCGGCAGCGAAGGTGGTGAGCACGAAGAGGGTCAGCAGCAGTGCGAGCAGCGCCGCCACAGACGGGTCGGACAACAGACGGGCTGCCAGTGCACCACACAGGGGGGAGCGCCAAGGAACGGCATTAAGCAGGAGTGGACGTGCCAACATGGAGAGTGGTAGCGCGTTAAGTAACAGGGTGGCTGAGGTGAGTGGAGTAGTGCAACCGAGTGGTGGTGAGCACAGGGCGTGGTGCAGTGACCTTTGAAGAGGGCGAGGGCGGGCTGCAGCGACGCCGTGAAGCCAGACAGAATGCTGAGGCAGATGAGCAGAGAGTAGCCGTCGCCTGGCAGGTGGGAGGAAGGAAGGCAGTGACTGAAACACCAGCGCACACGCTTCTAACACAGGGGGAGCCGTGCAGCGCAGGACAGCAAGACATGGCACAGCAAGGAGGGCAAGGAGGGCAGGACGGGCAGGGCGGACAGGGAGGGTTGTGGTGTTACCGATGCCGAACTTGGTGATGGCGGAGCAGAGGCCCTGCAGCACGGTGGAGCCAGCAGCCAGGGCCAGGGAGGCACGCAGGAAGGATGGCAGCCACACACTGATGTGGGTGGGGGCACACACACACGCACAGGGATGGGGGCGTGATAGACGTAGAGGGGGTTTCGGTAAGGCATGCAGAGGGAGGCTGGCATGATGCAGTGCAGCAGACGGAGCGCATGGCAGCGAGCATGGCAGCGAGCATGACAGCGAGCATGGCAGCGAGCATGGCAGCGAGCATGGCAGCGAGCATGGCAGCGAGCATGGCAGCGAGCATGGCAGCGAGCATGGCAGCGCACCTGACAGCGGCAGAGCAGTCCATGGACGTCCACGCTGTGAGGGCCCCGAACACCAGAGCCAGCCCCATTGACAGGTAGAAGCTGCAGGGGTGGGGGGGGGAGAGAGACGCACGCAGGGAAGGGTGACAAGAGGATTAGCACAGTGAACACCGGGACAAGGGGACAACAGAGGGTACAAGGCATGAGTGCAAGGTATCATAAACACATCCCATAATCAAAACAAGCAAGGCGAGCGTGGGTGAGTGTGAGTGAGTGTGGGAAGATGCGTCTTGGGTGCATGGGAGCACGGACGTGTATCGTTGGATGAGGGCAGCGCCCCTTGACCCCTCGTTGCGCAGGTTGTTGAGGTGCGGCGAGATGCGCAGCGCCAGCACCACCTGCACACACACACGGGTGTTGGGGGTGCGCACAGTGGGGTCAGGGGCACGGCCACAAGAGCAGGGGGGGTGAGAGTGAGGAAGCTACGGTGGTGGGAGTAGAGCGATGGTAGGTGAAGGAGAGGTGGGTGAAGGCGTAGGCACCTGGAGTACGATGGAGGCGAATATGTGCGGTGTGATGCCAAGTGCGAACAGGTTGATGGGGCCGCCCGCTGATGCCACCTCCAGGTCCAACCCTGCCACACCGCACCGCACCACGTGCCACCTCATCACTCGTCAGCATAATCGTTTTGTGGTGAGACAATCAGCTTGTTGCCACAGGGCAAAGAGGCATCACATGACAGCGCACAGCACACCGCCCCCCCTCGTGCGCCCTTCCGCCCCCACCTACCCCCTCACCAGCGGCCATGAGCAGCGGGTGGTCGTGCCCCGCGGTGCCGGCCTCTCTGAGCCCGGCCAGCGGCACGGCGTACCCCACGCGCGACAGCGCCAGCAGCGCCGTGGTCACGAGGGCGCGGCGGGCGAGCTCGTCACGGAAGAGGCGGTCCACAGCGCGCTCCACGTGCGTCTGCCACATGGCCACCGCCAGGAACGCGTTGCTGTACGCACGCCCGCCGCCCCGCTGCCCACCCGCCCTCCGCGCGCCCCTCCCTGCCTCTGCTGCCCTGCGCTGCCCCTCGGCACTTTGTGACGCTGGCTGTGGCTGCGTGGGTGGGTGGGCGTCTGGTGACGAGGCGGGGGCGTGTTGCGAGGCAGAGGCGCGAGCGGTGGAGGGGACAGTGGCTGCAGCGCCGTTGCAGGACGATGCAGAGCCAGAGGCGCTCCTGCTCTCATGCTCCTGCGCATCCGCTGCTTTACTGCTGCCTTCTCCCTCCTCCCCTTGCCCTCTCGCCCCCCCCATGTCTGCCTGCACCGCTCCTCGCCCCATCCCCTGCACGGTCACCCGCAGCAATGCCTCCGCCACCTCTCGGGGAATCCCCCCAACCTTCCCCCCTGCCCCACCCATCTCCCCACCCTCCGCCCCACGTGTCTCCGCCTCTGTCCGTCCTTCCCCCACCGATGCTTCCGGCGCCCTTTCTCCACTGTCCGCCCCCCGTGACTGGGAGTCGTCCCTCCCCCAACTGTCCCCCCTCTCTTGCTCCGCCGACCCCACTCGCCCCTCCTCCCCGCGTCCCGCGCTAGCCGCGCACAAATCACCCCGTCTGTTCCGCTGCCTACCGCCCCCACAGCGTCCCGCGCGCCTTCCTTCCGCCATGCTGCTCCTCCACCGCCCGCATTTTTCGCGCGCTGTCCCCTGCGCCCACCCGCTGTGCGCCGCCGATCCGCCTCCCCGCCCGTGGTACAGAGCGGACCAGCGGAGAGCGGGAGGAGCGTGCAGGGCAGCGGGCATATACGCGTGGAAAGGGGGGCGGAAACGGACGAGCGGGGAGGAGAGGGGGGAGATGAAAGCGGTGCGGACAGGGGGAGGCGAGAGATGGATCCCCCCGGCCAGCACGTCCATGGGTGCGCGGACGCTGGGAAGGCGGGGCGATGAGCGCGGGAGGAAGCGAGAGGTGTGGCAGACGGAAGCGATGCACGGTGATGAACAAGCAAAACGTGATCTTTGCCCACCCACACCCTCTGAGCACGCAGTTCGGCTAGCAGGCACGCTAGCAAGGGCATGTCGTATGAGCTTGTTACCTCGAATCCTACCCAGCCGTTTTGGATACCAAAGAAACCGCTCTCGATCGCAAAAAAACTTGAGTGCCAAAAATCACTCACCCCCTATCATCTGGCGTATGCGTGTTACTTCCCTCTTTTGTAAATACTAAATTTAAATACTACCTTCATAAATGTGAAGCATACGCATATGCTTATGATCCTTCTTATAGCACCAACTCATTACTAAATTCATTATGGTATTGAAACAACAAAAACAGAAACCCACTATGTTCGTTCTTGTAGAAACGGAGTGACTTTTCCTCGCAGCGGCTCTGGCAGCGCAGCAATGCTGTCCAGGATCTCCTGCAGTAGGCAGCGAGTGGGAGGGGCATGCATGAGCAGCCTGCCAAGAGCAGCATGTGGAGCGGGTGGGTGCACGAATGTGTATGGTCGGGTGGCGCACTGACCTGGCGGGAGTAACGCGCGGAGAAGTGGATGAAGAGAATGGCCTCGTTCTGGAACATGTGCGCCAGCGGAACCAGCTGGGGGACAGCAGCACGCCATGCGCAGGGCAAGGAGCATCAGCAGGGTTAAGGTTTCTGTACATGAGAAGGTTTAGAACAGTTTTGACAGCAACACCAAAAGAAGGCAGCACAGAACAAGGAATGAAGTCTAAGGCAGATGCGGGGAACGATAGGCGAGAAACACATAGGGGACTTGCCTCGCTCATGTGAATATGGCCGAACTTTCTTGCATGCTCTATGGTCACAGAGTCGTCAATAAATGTCACCTGTATGCACCAACAAACGCCAGGCGGTGCCAGGATGGGCAGTTAAGGTTAGGCAAACAAGCGTGAGAAGGAGATGAGAAATGCACTAGCAGCAGCAAACGGCTTTGCTGGCAATGAGCCCATCCAGTGCTCTTGCTCGCACGCACTGGGCCACCCCAGCACGGTTGCCCCTTGGTGCAGTGGCCCGGGGTGGCGGGCTGACCTCCATGATGAGCAGCTTGGCGCGCAGCACGTGCGCGTTGGCGGGGTCCGTGATGAACTCCACCGTGGTGTCGCCCGTGAACGCCACCTCTGGCACCACCACCTCCTCCGCTATCTGCCTCATGCCATGCCATGCCATGCCGTGCCGTGCCATGCCATGCCATGCCATGCCGTGCAGCGAATGGAACACATGCACCACACCACACACGCCGCCTTTCAGGAAAAGTGCTTGTGCTGGTACATGTACGCGAGGGTAGCCAAGCTGCAGAAACACAGTGCTGTGCTGTGCTATGCTGTGCTGTGTTGTGCACATCGTGCACTGCTCTGCACTCACCTGTGTGCCGGCGTCCTTGAGTCGCTTGATCTCAGCGCCTGGCAAGCCATGGTACTGCGGCAGCAGCTTGTGCTTGCGAGACGAAATTAAGTAGCCCTGGGGGACATGGATGGGAGTCAGGCATGGGGGAAAGGCGCCGGCGGAGGAAAGCAGGGATGAAGAGGAGCAAGGATGGAGTCGGGGCAGGGTGAGCGGCAAGGCGGAATGACGCCACATGCAGCAACATGAGAGTGGCAGTGACAGCAGTGGACGAGGGCGCATGCACCGCGCACAAAAAGACAGCAACGCTGCTGGGCGATAGAGGACTACCAGCAACCAAAGCATCCACAAACCGCCCTCGCCTTCATGCCCATGCCAGCCCTCCCACACCACCGCCCCTGCCCGGATTGTCCCTCTCCCTCCCCTCCCCCCTGGGCCACCTGGCTGGGCAACACATGGTACGTGGTGAACGGCTGCACGAAGTAGCCCTTGCCCACCCGCATCTCCTCGCCCACCTGCCGCCACGCACACACGCACAGCCAAGCACCAAGTGACATGAGGACAGGCACGGGGGTGGAACGTGCTAAAAGGGCTCATGTAGCCGCGAGCAGCGTGGCGGGGAGGGCATGGCGGGGAGGGCAGGACACCTGCAGGCCTATGAGGCGGAGTGGCAGCGAGGCGCCGTCGAGGTTCTGGAAGCAGTGGATCATGGCCGTCACACCCTCCACCGCTGACGGCGGCACCACCACTGTGGGCGGCGCCAGGGAGAAGAGGCCCCTCGTCGCCACGTGGAACGCCAGCCCGCCCTGCGCACGGACGCATGGGGGGGCGCAGGGGGGAAGTCACACGGGGGAGCAAGCGATGGTTGCGCGCTAGGAACGACGCCACCTGGGTGCAGGACGCTGCAGCCCACGCACAGGCCAGGCCTCGCTTGCTATGCGGTATCAGCCGGCGCGCGTGGCAGCGGGGTGTGCGGCACTGACCACATGGTCGATGTGAGTGTGCGAGATGAGCACGGTGTCCTGGAACACGGCGCGCGCAGGGCAGCGACCGATGTCAAACGCCACCTTCATGGCCGGCACCATCACGCACGTCTCCTGCCCGCCCACCGACACGCCCTCCACCACGTGGCCCCCCACCATCATGCCCGCGCCCCGCTTGCCCCCCCCTCCCCGCTCCTCCGCCCCCTCACCTCCTGCCTCCCCCCTGCCCTCGCTAGCCCTCTCGCCCTTCTCCCTTCCGCCTCCCCGCTTCCCCTTTCCCCCTTTTTCTCTGCTCCCCGCCCCTATTCCCGCAACCACCTCTCCCACCGCATCCCCCGCTTCGGCCGGCGCATTCCCAGGCATCAGCCCCTCGACTTCCCCCCGTTCCCCCTCGCCGCCAGTCGTCCGCGCGGCACCGTTCTCCTCACGTCCCATCCCCCCCTCCACCGTTTCGCCTGTCGCCGCTTCCGCCCCAACAGCCGCCTCCACTCCACCGCCGCTCGCCCCGCGCATGCTGCTGACGCGCCCCTGGCCTCCCCCGCCCGGTGAGTGCGCGGAAGCCAGCTGCCCGTATGGCGCGCAGTGCGGCGGGGCGGAGCGAATCGAAGCGGTGCGGACAATTCGTGGGGGGAGAGGCGGGGCGCGTGGGATGGAGCAGGTGGTGCGGATGGGCGGAGAGGGCAGGCGGCTAGGCGAAACGAGGGGGGGGGAGTGGCGCTTGGGAAGCAATGCAGACGGAAGCGACGAGACGAGGGCGAGAGAGCAGCGATAGCAATGCGGTGGTGGGCGGTGGACGGGTAGGAATCGAAGGGCCACGTGGCAACGGACGGGCTGAAGGATGTGCGACATTCGAGCAGCTGAGGAAACTTGAGACACACGCAAGGCAGGGGGAGTCTGGTGGAGAGGGGCATGGAACTGCAGTACTGCACTGCTCAGTACCCGCTGGGGGTAACAAGCAAACTATACCCAAACAATGAATGTGCAAATTCCCAGGTTCTGATATGAGTGTGGCAAGGCTTCTTTCCATTCTTTCCTTCCGAACAATCAAGTGACATGGCTGGGCACTAGAAAAGAGCGCAAGCTAAGAGCATCATGGCCACAGGATTGAAGCCACAGTTTGGCCGAATCGAGACAAAATCAGGTCAATCATGTTCTATACTCCACAACACAGCCAGTGAAGCGGCTTCACCTGAACCATCTGATGTGATGCGAGTGCTTCTGCATTTGTGGGCTGACGAAAGAATGTGTTTCCCAGTCCGCCCCTGAACTCTTGAGGCCAGTTGCCCCCGGCTCGCCTCGCTGCTCACCCATTATACCGACCCAGTTGCTGCTGCAGCGACTGCAGAGCCAGCTCTGCATTTCCCTGCCCTGAGGCCTGCAGCAACCACTGTGCGAGCCCTCCACTCGCACCTGAGTGCTGCTGCAGCAGTGACAGCAGCTGCTGCTGTGCCTGTGCCTGAGGCTGTTCCATATGCGCCCACTGCTGTGCCTGCTGCTGCCCTTGCACCCACTGCTGCACTGCCAGCTGCTGCGGCTGCTGCTGCTGCTGCTGCTGCTGCGGCTGCTGCTGCTGCTGCTGCTGCTGTGAGGAGGGCAGGGCAGGTTGCTGAATGCCATGAAGACTGTTGGCGTCCGTCTGCCCTCCACACCCTCCAGCATCCACTCCCCCCCCCCTGCACCCACACCTGCCCCCTGCCGTGTGCCTGTCTCCCACTGCGCTGGAACGAATGAGTGCTGAGACACTGTCGTGCCCGTCCCTGCCTCCCTGGCCTGCCCTGGCCCCACTACTGCAGTGCCTGTGGCAGCCGCAGAGGATGCGGAGGGTGGTGTGGCAGGCACGTGCGCAGAGCCCAGCTGCTGCACCGCCTGCGCCCACTCAAGGCTCGCATGGCTTGCAGGCGCGCTGCTGCTGCCACCCTGCCCCGCACCCAGTAGCACAGCAAGTGAGTTGATCACAGCAGCAGTGCTGGCAGGCGCAGCAGCACCGGCACTTTCAGCACCTGACGGGCCAAGGAAGCTCCCCCCCACCCCATGCACTGCCCGCCCTGCATTCCCCATCAGCAACGACAGCTGCGACTGCTGCTGCCTTGCCTGCTGCTGCTGATGCTGCTGATGCAGCTGCAGCAGCAGCTGTATCACACTCGAGGCATCAGTCCCGCGTATCCCCGCCAGCAGTCCCTGCACCACACTGCCCACGCTGTACTTGTCGTCCCCCCCCCCCAATTTCCCAAGCAAAGCTCCCAGAAGCCCCTCAGCCAACGCGTCCGGAGCGTTCCACGGACCCTGCCCTTGCACCTGTGTTTGCGCCTGTGCCTGCGCCTGCGCCTGCGCCTGCCCTGTTGTTGCCTGCAGCAATGCCGCCAAGGGCAGCACGCCCCCCTGTCCCAGGGCCAGCAGCAGCTGCTGCCTGTGCTCGGGGGCCACTGCCAGCAGCGCCTGCCTCACCGCCTCCGCCTGCCGCAACTGCATCTGATGCTGCGCCTCCGCCTGCTGCTGCACTGCCAGCAGCAACAGCTTATCAGCAATCCCCACGCGACTCCCTGCTGCTGCTGCCACCGTCACCGCCGCCGCCGCTGCTGCTGCTGCTGCACCTTCTTCCCCTAATCCTCCATCTGCCATGCTTCTCTCACTTCCCGCCCCTACTCCTGGCGTTGTGCCTGCAGCAGCAACGTGTGCATTGGCGGCTATGAGCCCCAGCAGCAACCTCTGCATGTCGCCCGCCCCTGTGCCCGCTGCACTGCCCGTGGGGCCACTGCTCTGCTGCAGCCGCTCCGCCAGCAAGCTCTGCTGCACCTGGTGCAGCCCCAGCCCTGGCCCACCTGCACCCACAGCAGCAGCAGCAGGCATGGCAGACGGTGGTGTCAGCACAGTGGCTGCCTCCTGCCACAGCTGTGCCGGCCTCGCCACCTGCATCCCCATGCCTCCGTTCAACGCCTCACCACCTCCTCCCCAGCCCTGGCCTGTACCATGCCACGTGTCTGCTCTCTCGCCCCCAGGCCTCACACTGCAACCGCCTGCTGCAGCAGCACCCACATGTTGACCGCGCTGCAAGGGGCTCTGTGCTGCCGCCACCCGCCTACTCCTCTCCTCTCCAGCGCCTGCACCCTTGCCATCAGTGCTGGCAGCCGCGCCTGGCCTCTCACCATGTGTCCCTCTGCCAGCACTGCCTGCCCCCTCGCTGCCATCGCTCAGCACGCCCCCAGCCGCCCCTATGGCGCGGTCCACGCCAGCATAGCCGGCCAGGGGCTGCCACTCCGCCAGAGCGGGGTGCGGGAAGTTGGTGCGCGCCTTGGGCCCGCGCAGCTTGATGGCGGCGCGGTCGTACGCCCGTGCCGCCTCCTCGGGGGTGCTGAACGTGCCCAGCCACACGCGCGAGCGCTTCTTGGGGTATCGGATCTCCGCCACCCACCGGCTCTCATGCCTCTGCCGCACGCCGCGAAACAGCTTCCCATCACTCGCACCGCATGCTCCACCTCCTGCCCTCTCTCTGGTTCTTGCGAGGACCACATCACCAGAGCCTGAGAGCTGAGTCCGGGTGTCAGGTGCAACGGGTGCAGGGGAAGGCGGGGGAGGGTGGGAGGTGGGTGCAGCATCCATGGAGTTGGGATGCTCCGGGGACATGCTGCCGCTGCACTCCAGCAGAGCACCGGATCCTGAGTTACCACCTGAAGCAACAGCATGGGCAGCTGGCAGCGTCAATGGGTGCGTGCCATGCGCCGGGTGCTCTGCCTGCTGCTCAACCTGCTCGGGCTTCCCCACCTCTCGCTGCTCCTGCACCCCTCCCACCCTCTGCCCCAAATCGCTGCTCGCTCCATCGTTCGTGCCTCCTGCTGCCGCCCCTACGCCAACATGGACCACAGCAAGACAGCGAGAGGGCGATGGCGTGAGAGGCACTGAGGGTGTGGTGGCAGCAGCACTGCCCGCTGCAGACTGTGCTGCACCCTGAGCGCATGCGGCGACCGCTGATTCGCTTCCTATCCCTGTCCGTGTCACAGGCCGTTGCTCCTCTTGACGTGCCACTGCCTCCCGTTCTTCTCCCAGGCTCGAGCCAGCAGTTGCCTGGTAGGCACCACCTTTGCTTTCTGTCTCATGTCCCCTGCTCCGCATGACGCCTTGCTCCACCTCCTCTCCTCGCTTCACCTCCTCTCCTCGCTTCACCTCCTCTCCTCGCTTCACCTCCTCTCCTCGCTTCACCTCCTCTCCTCGCTTCACCTCCTCTCCTCGCTTCACCTCCTCTCCTCGCTTCACCTCCTCTCCTCGCTTCAACTCCTCTCCTCGCTTCACCTCCTCTCCTCGCTTCACCTCCTCTCCTCGCTTCACCTCCTCTCCTCGCTCCACCTCCTCTCCTCGCTCCACCTCCTCTCCTCGCTTCACCTCCTCTCCTCGCTTCAACTCCTCTCCTCGCTTCAACTCCTCTCCTCGCTTCAACTCCTCTCCTCGCTTCACCTCCTCTCCTCGCTTCACCTCCTCTCCTCGCTTCACCTCCTCTCCTCGCTCCACCTCCTCTCCTCGCTTCACCTCCTCTCCTCGCTTCACCTCCTCTCCTCGCTTCAACTCCTCTCCTCGCTTCACCTCCTCTCCTCGCTTCACCTCCTCTCCTCGCTTCACCTCCTCTCCTCGCTTCACCTCCTCTCCTCGCTCCACCTCCTCTCCTCGCTCCACCTCCTCTCCTCGCTTCACCTCCTCTCCTCGCTTCAACTCCTCTCCTCGCTTCAACTCCTCTCCTCGCTTCAACTCCTCTCCTCGCTTCACCTCCTCTCCTCGCTTCACCTCCTCTCCTCGCTTCACCTCCTCTCCTCGCTCCACCTCCTCTCCTCGCTCCACCTCCTCTCCTCGCTTCAACTCCTCTCCTCGTTTCAACTCCTCTCCTCGCTTCAACTCCTCTCCTCGCTTCACCTCCTCTCCTCGCTCCACCTCCTCTCCTCGCTTCACCTCCTCTCCTCGCTTCACCTCCTCTCCTCGCTTCACCTCCTCTCCTCGCTTCAACTCCTCTCCTCGCTTCACCTCCTCTCCTCGCTCCACCTCCTCTCCTCGCTTCACCTCCTCTCCTCGCTCCACCTCCTCTCCTCGCTTCACCTCCTCTCCTCGCTTCAACTCCTCTCCTCGCTTCAACTCCTCTCCTCGCTTCACCTCCTCTCCTCGCTTCACCTCCTCTCCTCGCTCCACCGCCTCTCCTCGCTTCACCTCCTCTCCTCGCTTCACCTCCTCTCCTCGCTTCACCTCCTCTCCTCGCTCCCCCTCCTCTCCTCGCTCCACCTCCTCTCCTCGCTTCAACTCCTCTCCTCGCTTCACCTCCTCTCCTCGCTTCAACTCCTCTCCTCGCTCCACTTCCTCTCCTCGCTTCACCTCCTCTCCTCGCTTCAACTCCTCTCCTCGCTTCACCTCCTCTCCTCGCTTCACCTCCTCTCCTCGCTTCACCTCCTCTCCTCGCTTCACCTCCTCTCCTCGCTCCACCTCCTCTCCTCGCTCCACCTCCTCTCCTCGCTTCACCTCCTCTCCTCGCTTCAACTCCTCTCCTCGCTTCAACTCCTCTCCTCGCTTCAACTCCTCTCCTCGCTTCACCTCCTCTCCTCGCTTCAACTCCTCTCCTCGCTTCACCTCCTCTCCTCGCTCCACCTCCTCTCCTCGCTCCCCCTCCTCTCCTCGCTCCACCTCCTCTCCTCGCTTCAACTCCTCTCCTCGCTTCACCTCCTCTCCTCGCTTCAACTCCTCTCCTCGCTCCACCTCCTCTCCTCGCTTCACCTCCTCTCCTCGCTTCACCTCCTCTCCTCGCTTCACCTCCTCTCCTCGCTTCACCTCCTCTCCTCTCTCCACCTCCTCTCCTCGCTTCACCTCCTCTCCTTGCTCCACCTCCTCTCCTCGCTTCAATTCCTCTCCTTGCTCCACCTCCTCTCCTCGCTCCACCTCCTCTCCTCGCTCTACCTCCTCTCCTTGCTGCGTCTCATTATCCTTGCTCATCGCATCATCTTGCTTCGAAGCATCCCTTTGCTTCAGCAATGGGTCAGACACTTGCTTCTGCGCCTGCTGCGCGCCCTGCACTGCCGCTGGCCCGTGTTCGGCCTCCGCGCTGCACCCTGGCGGATACCCCACGCCATGAGCCGCGCGTGCCGGAATGTTGACCGCATCCCCCGCGCTCGCGTCACTATCACCCGCCCTTGCGCGAGCGGCCCTTTTATTCGTCTGCACGGCGCCGAGCTCCTCCGCGTCGAGCTTTCTCTTCCCTCCCACCGCCCTCGCCCCCCCTTCCATCCCGAGCTTTTGAACTCCGCTCCGACGACGCTCCGAGTCCCATCCGCTCTTCTCGCCCTTCCCATCGGCCCCGCCCTCGTCGGCCGTCCCGCCGCCCTCTCTCTCCACCCCCATCATCTCCGCCTCCTCGCGCCCTGCGCTCGCTCGCTCCCCCTCGTCGCCGCGCGGTGGACTACGCCCATGCCCGTCCTTCCGCGCCGCAGATCCGTCGCTCGTCATCTCCTCCCTCTTCTCCCCGCGGCCTGCCTCTCGCCCCTGGCTGCCCATCGCCTCGGCACCGGCGTCAGCGCACCGATCGCCTTCACGCGCCATGGCGACACAAAGGCCGCTCTCGCTCCCGCCACCGCGGCGAGACAGTCAATCCCGCTCAATCAGCCGCTCACTACCACGGCCCTTACCGCGCTCCCACCTATTTCACTCTAGTTCAAGGAAGCGACCTGCGCCGCGCCGATACCTTCGGCTCGCGGGAAAGCACGTCGGCGGAAGGGAACGGGCGTACGAGAGGCGCGGCACGCTGCATGCGATCACTGGGTCACTGGACGGGGGAGGCGACGGCCCGGCGAATGCAGGCTACGTATCTTTTCGGACAAGGGCCGCATGGAGCGCTCAGACGGCGGAAAGCCTCGGATATCGTGAGGGAACCCGCTGCCGCTTTATCTGGCGAGTGCGACGGTGGACAGCTAGAGCAAATCACAAACTAGAGTGCTGGCAGAGCGTTTCTCGTTACTGCTGCAAATCATCATGTCTTGCAACAAACAGGGGTGTTGTCACGCCTACACACAGCCAGACGGAAACACGGGTGAGGGAAAGGAGGGGAGGGAGGGGGGGCGGATGGGCAGCTTGCGACGGGAGCAGCGAGCTGGAGGAGGCGAGTTGGCGGAACGGTCGAAAGGGCTCGTTGCTGCATGAGATCGCCGTTCCCCGCCCGCCCGCCCACACCGCAGAGTGGCCGCCTTTCCCCATCACCCGCCCAGCAAAATCGGGCCACAGGGAGTTGGTTTGGGAGGTGCACCCACCATGCTGCATTGCTCACCTGCCATTCGCGGAAAGTGAGGTGGGGTGGGGGGAGGAAGGGAAAGGCTCGTCTCAAGAGGGTGCCAGCCATCCATTCTCTGGGCGGCCTCCTGCAGGTCGGGCAGGCAGGCATGAGTTTGTGGCGGGAGAACAGAAGCTTGATGGGTGGAGGGGAGGTGGGTCCCTACAAGATGGAGGGTTTATCGACGGCTGAGAGGGAGGCACGCATGGCCACCTCATCAGCATGTGATTCAGTGGGAGCAGTGGGCAGTCTGCTTTGTGCTGCCTGCCCGTCGACAAACATTTGGGAGTTTCTTCGCGCGTCCAGACTTCACAATTATATAAGGGAAAGTATATCGGCGCTCAGTATTAGTGGCCTCGATAACATGTACGGACACGATATAAACAATCAGAATTAGCGAGTTCGCAACATGTTTCATCAGTCGGATTCCACCGTTAGTCAGAAACTGCAGGAAAAAAACTCCACAAATGGTCAGTAGAAGTAACCCCTGCCGGTCTCGAAACGTTTTCCCGCTCGCGCCAGCCCAATTTCGTCATCATGTCGGCTGGCGCCATAATTTTCCCAAGCTCCAGGCGCAGTACGAGAGAACTACGTACAATATTCCCAAACTAAAAATCGTTGGACGTCGCGCACACAAATGTCCAAAATTGAGACCTTGCGCATTATGTCATATAAGCTGATTGGACCACAGCGGGTGCGACATTTTTCAAACATTAACAAACGCACAAAAAACGAAAACATTTGACACGAAAGGGAAAATCTATCCGGAATCGGCGCTAAGCCAATAAGGCGTGAACATTAAACTGTAGTGCGCGTGCGCTAATTTGTTTCGAGCATGAAAAGATATGTAGATTCATAATTCGCTGGAAAAAAAATGGTAAATACATTTCTCAAAGAAAAAACAATCAAAAGACAACCGACAGCCTTCTAATAGATTTGTTGTATTGAAATTAATAAAAAATTAAATGCGGTTCTTAGAGTACCTTGACGTGCTTTTAAACATATTCATTCCCCAAAAATAAACCCGTATAGCCATCTATATATGTTATTGTTTTCGGGGACTCGGGAATGACAAGTTTATGGCTTGACTTTTTTTCTTTTTTTTTTGCCGTAAATGCAATAGAGACAAAGCCGCCATTTTTGTTCATCATGGGACGCGCTACCCTCCGTGACGAAAGTATGTGCTTCGAAACATATAGTGTTTTCGTGTTTCTCGACCAGCAAATTTTCAATAAATTTGGGCATTCTTCGGTTTTCGCTCGAACTGCGCCTGGAGCTCGGGAAAAATATTGCGCCAACCACTGATGAAGAAATTGGGCTGGCGCGGGTGGGAAAACGTTCCGAGACGGGCGGGGGTTACTTCTATTGACCATTCGTAAAAAAAAAATATCATGCAGGGTTTGACTAACGGCAACCCATCAGCTCTGGGCTATGCTGACTCCTCAGGAACTGGAGCTGAGAGCCTGCGATCTACTGGTAAAGGTGTGGGCTGTGCAGAGGAGAACTAAAGTCCGAACCTCTGAAGGACCTGGCGCACCATGTGTGACTGTGTGAGAGTGATGGTGTGCGCTGCTCTGTCTCTGGAGATCTGTTAGCCAAGGTAACGGCACAGCTCTCCTAGGTCAGTGCAGGTGTGTCTCCTCAGCAGCTCGGCCTTGACGGAGGCCATCGCGTCTCTCTCTGCAGTAGCGAAGGCCAGGTCGTCTACGTAGACAAGGATGTAGAACGGAGTCTGGCCAGCACGAACAAAGAGCGAGGGGTCTGCAGAGGACGGAAAGAACTGCAGGTCAGCTAGCGTAGCACTTGGACGAGCACAGGACGAGCACAAGAGGTGTGAGAGTACGACACCGTTACACCAATTTCCTCTTTCCATATTTTCTTTCTATTTCATTCCTCTTTCACTCCTGATTCATTTGGTCTTTATCTCATTCTCATTTTGTTTCCTATTCCTCCTTCTCGATTATCTTTTGGTTTATCCTGTTATTATGATTATATCACCGACCAGGCTCGGGATGTACTTGCGCGCTATATTTAGCGCAATCCTTACGTAATCCCTTAAAAGCCTATAGCCTCGCGTGGCTATACGCAGGGTGATTCTATTTCTAGAAGGGTCTATTCATTTTGGATAGGATAAACCAGCTTACCTGATGTACTTTGGAAGTATAAAAGCACCTTGTACTCATGGAGAGTGCACCATTGAGCAAACCTCATTCGATCGTGTGACAAGAGGGACGGCGAGACCAGACGTGAGATGGAGGCATGTGGTCAAGAGACAGAGGACACACAAGAGGGGAACGAGGGGGAAGACGAGCTGGAGACGAGTCTGGCGGAGGGAACACAGGGTCGTAGATAGGAAGAGGAGGAGGGGGGGGGGGGGGGGAAGGCGCAGGCGAGCGGTCAGGGCATGGAAGGCCGAGCAGGCGAAGGGCGAACACCGACGGCGATTGCTGCTGCTTCTGCTTGACGCCGACACCTAGATCGCCAGCTGCACTACGACTACCACCTGAACACTCCACTCCAGCACCCCCAGAACGAGAACACTCTCCAGCACCGGTGCCAACCCCAGGCCCACCGAGACAAGCCACAACAGGAACCCCAGGACTAGCACCCTCCTCAATGCCAGCACCCCCAGAGTCCACGAACGGCTGCTGCTGCGTCTTTGACGACGGCTGCTGCGGCGGTGATTGTGACGGCGGAGGAGGAGACACCGGGGGAGAGGCAGGCGGCGAGAACTGCGTCGCGGAGCCACCAGAGTCAGCTGACTCCTCAACCGGGACAACCGACGGGAGGGGAGTAACATGAGACACACCAGACGGAGGAGGACGAGGAGGGAATGGAGTAGGGGCTACTAGGGGATTGGGAACCAGAATCAGGATTGGGGAAACTGGAAGACCTCGGTGGGGAAAACGGTGGTAAAAGGAGACAGACTCGTCGAAAGTGGCGTCACGAGAGTGAAAGAAACTGTGAAACGCCGGGTGGTAAACTTGCCAGTCAGACGAGTCAAGAAGAAAACCGAGGAAGACACAGGGAACAGTGCGGGCAGTGAGCTTGTCCGTGCAAGAGGCACGAATGTGAGCAAGGCATCCCCGGGCGTGGAACATAGACGCGTCACCAGGGAACCCGTTCCAAAGAAGCGTCGACGAAACCTGCGGCCGCTAGGAGCGCTGCCACAAGTTAAGCCAGTGAGCGGCGTAGCGAACGGCGAACGGTTACTGAAAATAGGGTGCGCCGGCATGAATCATGGAGGTACGAGCCACCTCCATGTCCAAACCGATGCGTCCCTCAGCGACCCCATTCTGCTGCGGGGAGTCCGGTAGGGTGTGCGATAAGGTGATGCCTTCCGCACAACAGAACTGTCCAAGCCGACCAGAGGCAAACTCGCCGCCACGGTCGGAGTGGAGACACAGCACAGGGAGACCGCTGTGGAGGCGCGCAGCGACCTGGGTAGATGCAGGGCCCGGGGAGGACGCGCCAACCGGGGGGGAAGCAGTGTCCAGCATAAACAGGCCAGACACTGGGCCCCGGGGGAACTTGCAAGGGGGGAACATGGTAGGAAGCCATGGAATGGCGTGACGGTTTTGGAGCTAGGAGAGAAAGTTACGAGAGAAAAGGGGGTCAGACTAGAAAGAGAGAGGGATACAAGGAGGGGATTATACCCTCTACAGTAGATTTCAGTAACACCTACCAAGCCTACCAATTATATAACAAAATATTGTCAAACATGTGTATTTGTCATGTTTGTATAGACTGTATAGGGTCGCCTCTTAGAGGGTACAACACTTAGGTATATCTGTGTGTACTCTCACTCTATCATCATTCACTTCTCCAATTTTGTTATGGTATGACGCGTAGGTAGGATCCCCCCCCCCCACCTACCGCTTCCGCTCGCCCCCCCCCTAGCCCCGTCGTGCCCCTAGCCCCGTCGCGACCCCCCTAGCCCCGTCGCGCCTCTTCCTGGGCCCCGTAGCGCCCCTCCTGGACCCCGTCGCGCCCTTCCTGGGCCCCGTCGCGCCCCTCCCAGGCCCCGTCGCGCCCCGTAGCGCCCCTCCTGGGCCCCGTCGCGCCCCTCCTGGGCTCCGTAGCGCCCCTCCTGGGCCCCGTCGCGCCCCTCCTGGGCCCCGTAGCGCCCCTCCTGGGCCCCGTCGCGCCCTTCCTGGGCCCTGTAGCACCCCTCCTGGGCCCCGTCGCGCCCCTCCCAGGCCCCGTCGCGCCCCTCCTGGGCCCCGTAGCGCCCCTCCTGGGCTCCGTAGCGCCCCTCCTGGGCCCCGTCGCGCCCCTCCTGGGCTCCGTAGCGCCCCTCCTGGGCCCCGTCGCGCCCCTCCTGGGCCCCGTAGCGCCCCTCCTGGGCTCCGTAGCACCCCTCCTGGGCCCCGTCGCGCCCCTCCTAGGCCCCGTAGCGCCCCTCCTGGGCCTCGTCGTGCCCCTCCTGGGCCCCGTAGCGCCCCTCCTGGGCCGCGTCGAGCCCCCCCCCTCCTGGGCCCCGTCACGCCTTCAGGCCCCGTCGCCCCCGCCTGGCCCCGTCGCACCAGCCCGGCCCCGTCATGCCCGCCCGGCCCCGTCGCACCCGCCCGGCCCCGTCGCCCCCTGCCCGGCCCCGTCGCCGCCGCCCGGCCCCGTCGCACCCATCCGGCCCTGTCGCGCCCGCCCAGCCCCGGTGCGCCCCTCCTGGGCCACCGTCCTGCTCGCCCGGCCCCGTCGC